TCATTGTCTCTCTTCTCTTCCATCTCTGTTAGCTTCGCCATTATGAATGTTCTAAATTCTTTATCAGACATTTCCATGATTTTCATTGAACTGTCTGTGAATGAAGAGAAGCTATTCTTTTCCCTTGGAGGAGAGATATTTTCTTGCTTTTCCATATTTCTTGTGGCCCTGTCATCTGATGGATGGTATGTTTCTCCCCAAACTTGAAGTTCAATCTGAGTGTTCAGGAGCATTCAGAAAGAGGTGATCTGGAATCTCTTTGCCATTCCAATTTGATCCCTTTGTACAGCAGATTCAGTAGATATTGAGGAATATATTAACCCTAATAGTATTTGGATGTTTGGCTATACTTCACTTAGATTTGTCTAGAAACACAGTGAATGGAGATTGAAGAGCAGAGAGATGAGATAAAATAAAAAGGGAACACAGAGAGAGAAACAACAGCAACAACAACAACCAAGAAACAGAGAAAAAGAGAAAAAAAATTTTATTAAAAAAATAAAAACAAAAAATAGAAAAAATGAGAAGACAGAGACAGAGGCAGAGAGAGACAGAGATAGAGACAGAGACAGAGAGATGGCTTGAAGGGCTTCCTACCACTCGAGTTTGTGGGCTGGAAGCTGAATTATCAGTGAAACTCTTCATTTCTCTTTTTTCTCTGAAATCAGTAGTTCTCAGGAGCCATGAAGGTATTTTCTTCTGAAGGCCTGCCCCCTTGCCTCTCCACTCAAGTTTGTGGACTGGAGGCTGAGTTATCAGTGGAAAATTTTCATTTCTCTTATTTCCCTGAAATCACTGTTTCTCAGGAGCCATGAAGGTGTCTTCTTCTGAAGGCCTCAAGGTGAGGTGATTTCTATCTCTTTATCTCTCTCTGTTTTCCCAGCAAATGCATGTACCCTATAACAAAAATCTCTCTTAACAAAGGAAAAAAGAAAAAAAAAAGAAAAGAAAGGCTATGAAGATCTTACCATGTTCATTCCCAGGCAGATTTAATCAAGGTATAGCCATGTTTGGCTCAAAGGCAGAGCAGGAGGTGCTCTTAATCGAATTTTCTCTGCCTCCACTGAGCATTTGGCCACCTCTTGTGCAGGAGTCTTTACCACAGAGCTAGGAGAAGCTTGTCCAGTTCCACTCAGTGGCTTAGCCTATCTCATGGATATGACAGCCCCACCCTGCCCCCGAGTGGGGGGGGGGGGTGCAGTGTCACTTTTGGAATCATATGGCACCCATGAAGTTCTTGGCAAAGAGAAAATGGAGGCCTTTTTCTTGCAGTGATGTAGATGTTGTCTCAATTGTGCAGGGTACTTTTGAATGCTATAGGGTATGTGTGCTTGCTGAGAAAAAGCTGTGGAGGCTGCTCTCCTTAGACCTCCGGGTGAAGTCCCTCAGAAGAGAAGCACATCTACATGAGGCTGGAGTTGGACTTGATGGCAGCAAGAGGTGAGCACCTTTTGAAATGACTGGCCTTTTCCATGCTGTGAGAGCTCACTGTGAAGTGACCTCCATCAGTAGCCTTTGAAAAGCTGTGTAATCTTAGTGCCTGCTCTTCAAAAGCAGGTAGGCACATCCAGACAAGGATAGTTTTTAATTATGATTATTTATAGTAAACCAGAATCTATACCTTTGCAACTATTCAACTTATGAGAAATTTCAGGTGTTTGTTTAAAAATGTGTGGGTGTGTGTTTGTGTGTGTTAATAATTTTATGAAATTTTTTTTCTTTTTAAAAATTTCTATTTAACCAGTGTTATGTCTTTACAGTGTCCAACATGGTTTTTCCCAGCATGAATATAGTGCATATTAGTCAAGTCAAAGACATTGTCATGTATATTATCATCAGTAGATAACTTTTCATTTTTGTTTTTTCTCTAATCCCCTCCCTCCCACCCATTATTACCTACCCACCTCCTGCTGTACTGTCTCTAGTATCTACAGTTGCTCTCCTTGCTATTATACCTTTCAATCTTATGAAATTATTTTGGAGGGAAGTGAACACAAATGTTTGAGGTCTACTGGCTGAGTGGACAAAACCTTGGGCTGGGCCTTTGAGTCTTAACTGAAACTGGCCTCAGTCCTTTCATTGGTTTGCTCTGTGACTTGGTGTACTGCAAATGGATATGACAGTCCCTTTCTAGAGGGCTTCACTGGAAAATTCTCTGTGCTTTCCCACCTCTGCTGTGTGTCCCTGCTTTGTGTAGGCCACATGCTAGATCTTGGGTTAAAGCTGGGAACTGCTTTCAGGACCTCTCACTATAGAATTCAGTGCCAGGAGAAGCTGGACTCACATGACAGATGTGGCTAAACAACCATGGAAATAGCAAGGAGGACCCATTTCCTTGATAAAACCCAGTGTTGGAAAACATTAGGGGCACAGAAGAAGTGAGAGAGCAAGCTGGATTTGCTAGGACTGAGGTGGGTGTTTTTCTCCCTCATCTGACATTGTGACCCTACAATTATTATTATTATTATTAATTATTTATTATTATTTAATTTGCTAGAGGGCATGAGTCACAAGAGAGAGAAAAAGAGAGAGAGAGAGAGAGAGAGAGAGAGAGAGAGAGGGGAAAAAATAAGAAAGAAAAAGTGAGAAATTACCCCTCATGGGTGATGTTCATGCAGAATCCTTTCTCTGTTCTCCTCTTGGGATTTTGAGCACACACACACACACACACACACACACACACACACATGCTGATGTGCTTTAAAAGCCACTGGGTTGGGTACTTGAACTATGCAGTTGGCCATGCAGGATCCAGCCACTTTAATGCCACCATGCCACCAGCTGGCTTGGGATCCTGCAATTATTAAACATATGCAAAACTGTGTCTATTTATTCTCTTCTTCTTGCTTTAGGATGAAAGTTGAAAATCACCAGGAAATGATTGAGGTGTACTTGACCCAATGGTTCTCAAACGTCAGAGTTATTAGAGCCACCTTCAGGGCTTTTTGAAACAGATTTCTAGGCTCTACTCTCAGTTTCTAACTCAGCAGTTCTGGAGAATCTGCATCTCTAACATGTCCCAGAGGATGCTGATGCTGCTGGTTCACAGACTCTGTTTGCAAATTCCTGGTCTAACCCCACACATTTATTTGCAGTAACTAAGGTGAGTTAATCACAAATCAAGTTAATCACACTGGAACAGTCAGGTTTTCTTTTTTAAATATTTTTATTTCATTTTCTTTCATACATTCAATCATTATTTAGCTTACAAAGTGAATATTCCAACTTGTGAACATTTTTCCCTTGTCTAGTTGATAAAACTATAAAATTATCTTCAATAGATAATACCACATTTCTTTGTTCCATTAATGCTTTGCCTCTCTATTTTCCTTTTAAATGTCCCATGGTAGGCGTCTTTGACTTTGTGAGGAAGAGTCAGGTTTTCTTACCCACTGATAGTGAGAAAGAGCTGGGGTATTGGCCTTTTTTTCTTCTTTTGTCCTTCTTCTTGTCTTGGTGAGTTCCTATTTATTCTTTATGTATCTTCAGAAATGCCATCTCTTCCCTGATTAAAATTGGTAAGGTAGCCTTCCTGGTGTTCTCTGTAGGATCTTGAATCTACCCCATCATGCTAAGTGTCATAGCTATATGTTCTCTGTGAACCCTTGAGAATAAAGACTTGTTAGTAGTGAGTTGGAAGTTGTTAGTATTGAGTCTGGTGTGGAGGAATGAATTCTTGGTCTCCAAAAACAGAGAAATGGAGAAGAAGTGATGGATCTGAGAGAAATGGCAAAGGAAGATTCTTGCCAGTGCTGATCACACAGTATGTGTCTGTAAATGCTTATTCAATTCAATGGGCACGCTAAGAGACCATGGTGACTGATGGGATATGGAGAGTAAGATGGAAACAGATCTAACATTTAGAAAGTATTTAATATGTGTCAGACATTGATACAGACCACAAAGTAGAAAATGGCACTGACCTAGGGAGGAATGGGGCAAAATAATGAGTTGGACATTGATCAAGTGGTATTTAGGGGACAGAAAATGCAAATGAAGATGCACTCTAGGAAATAGAATAGTAGATGTTTTTATTATAAGTCATAGCACAATAGTTAGCAGCATAGTAAGATCACAGACATGGGAGTCAAACACACATGTGCCAATATCTCAGATCTCATTGTTCTGGTGCAAGATCCAGACTTGCCAGAGAGAACATCTGAAACAAAGACTAGAGTAGCACTGGCCTGGCCTGACCTCTTCATTGGCCTGCTCACAGACAGGCAGATGTCAGACACCCTGCAGGGTAGTCCTTAGATGGTCATCATGGGCTCCTCTCTGTGTCTCCTGACCTCTGACCTCCCCTTTCTCCTTGCTCTTTCTTCTATTCTGAAGAGTGACCAGTACTGGTTGAGGAGGTGGGAGGAAACCATTGCAGGTCTTTCTGTCTCAGCCCCAGTGTAAGAAAGGATACAGACCTCGAGTATGAGTAAAAACCAGTATTGCCCTAATGACCTTTTCCTGTACCACTGCAGTCACCCTTCTGCCCCTGTGGTCAGGTCTATTTAGTTTTCAGTGGAAGCTCACTGGAGGCTTGTTAGCCTGGAGGCACAGTGGATCCTCTGTTCTCTCTTCCTTATGCAAATCCAGGAGCCCTGATCCTTTCTGTTAGAGGATTGCCTTTTTATTTTGTCAGTAGAGGATGCAGGAAAGAGGGTGGGCTACAAAAGCTGCTGGGGGTTTAGAGCTGGAAACTTCAGAGTTGAGCTTGTGTCAAGTGTTGCTGCACTTTAGCCAACTCGAGAGTATAATTGATGCATTCCTTGTTGACTCAGAGCTGATCTGTCTGCTTTCTCTTCCCATCTGTAGCTGTGGATAGAGGAAATGAATTACCAGGAAATTGGAAACCACACCAAAGTGACAGAATTCATTCTCGTGGGACTGTCCGAGCACCCCACATCCCAGAGTGTTCTCTTCTGGACCCTGATGTTTCTCTACATAGTAACTTTGGCAGGAAACAGCATGATTATTTTCCTGGTAGGTGTCAGTTCTCAGCTCCACACCCCAATGTATTTTTTCCTTGGCAACTTGTCTTTACTGGACCTCCTGTTTTCCACCAGTGCTGTACCCCTGATCATGGTGAACTCACTGCAGAACTTCCCCACCATCTCCTACACCTCCTGTTTTGTCCAGCTTGCCATCCGAGCCTTCTTGGCACTGGCTGAGTGTTTCCTTCTTGCCATTATGGCTTATGACAGATTCATAGCTATCTCAGATCCACTCAGGTACAGGCTGATCATGTCTGTTCGAGTATGTATTTTAATGGCTTTGATTGCATGGGTGACAGGATTACTGCTCACTATTATGCCCATTCTGCTCTTTCCTATCAGTTTCTGTGGGCATAATGCAGTCAATCATTTCTCCTGTGAAGTCCAAGCAATCTTTAAATTGCTCTGTTCTGACACCTTTTCCTTAGAGGTTATGATGATGGTATGTGCTGTCATTTCAATGCCAGTACCTTTACTTTTCATCCTTATCTCTTACCTTTGTATTCTCAGAGCCGTCTTAAGAATCAATCCAACTGAGGCCAGGCTTAAAGCTTTTTCCACATGTGGCTCTCACTTGGTAGTTGTCACCATCTACTTTGGGACACTAATCTGTATTTATGTGAGACCTCAGACCAAAGAGCCCCAGGATGGGGACAAAATTGTCTCCATATTTTATGCAGCAGTGACCCCAATGCTAAATCCCCTCATCTATACCCTGAGAAATAAGGAAGTGAAAGCTGCTCTCAGAAAAGTAACTTGTGGGGTCAAGTCCTGATTCTTCAAGCCAAGGATGGCAGCCAGGTGATAGGAGAGTGCAAGGACTTTAGGTGTCCTAGAAACTTGTATCTATGAGTGGCACTTTGGAAATGGGAGAGGACTTACAAAGCATAGTGGAAGAAATTACATTGAAACAGGAATTTTTGACATAAAGATATTAACCTGCTGTATGTCACATACATCTTAAATAGAAATATAATGCAAGCTACACATGAGGAGGAAGGCTTGTGATATGCATAACAGAAGAAACCAGTAGTCTCTATATACAAAACTGCTTGCAGATCATTAAGACAAAAGATATGTAGTCTAATGAGAAAATGGCCAAGGACCACAAATGCACAACCCAGTAAAAAAGAAGTAAACTCTCTCACTTAAGCAACAACAGAATGTCACTTTTTGCTTACCATGTTAACAAAGACATAAAATGTTTACAGTACATAGTGTTGGTGACAGTTTGGGAGGAATCCCACTGGGGGGGGTGTAAATTGGTCCAGCCTTTTGGGGTGCAATTTCAGTAGCTATAAAAACTTTTTGGGGAGACAACTGAAAGGGCCCACACTCCCCTGGGGCTCAAGATGAAGGTAAGTGCTAGTCCCTCAGCTGGAAGTGGGCTTGCCATCTGGGATCATCTGGGATGGGTTCTGAAAATCTCCAACCTGGAACAAGTCATCAACATCTGCCTTTGCAGGCTTCCACAGGCTGTAGCCTTGAGGCTTCCCAGTATCAGGAGAAGCATGGGGTGGAGAGTGATGTCTCTCCAGAGTCAGTCCTCTGCCTCCACTCATTTTATGAGGAGACTATAGAATGGATTCCTTTGTAATGATGCCTCCTGAATTCCCTGGAGAGAGGTGGTTGGTCCTGAATGAGTGGTCCTCTTGGTAGGTATTTGGAAGACTTTTATTTCTCCCATAGTTGCGGACTTTAGTATTCAATTCCACTAAAATAGGAAAGACCTACTATGGCATCTCATATCATTATGTCACCTTGATGCATCTATACCACAGGAATGCTAAAGTATATATGTGACATATATGTGTGAGAATGGTTGTTAAAGCACTCTTCAGATGTGTGAGAGTTTCCAATATAGTCCCTAAATGTCCACCAATGGTCTGCAGCTGGCATAGCCCCACAAATCTCTCATTCTTCTGGGACTAGAAGATTACATGGTTATTGGACATATTCTCTTCATGATAATGGCAGAGATGCAAGAGGAGTGACTATGATGCCTCTTAGGGCCTAGGATCTAATTAGCTAGCACATTGATACCTTTGTTCACACTGTATTAGCCAAAAGTAGCCACACGGTCAAGCTCAGTGTCAGTGCCTGTTACTAGAGGGAGGAACTTCAAGGTCATGTGTCTAAAGATGTAGATGAAGGAGAGGATTAAGAATTTGGAAAAATACAACAATCTACTACAGTGCTAGGGAGTGGGCAAGAAGGCTAGCAACTTCACCTGCAGTGGATGCTTGTATTGCAGAAAGAAAACTCTAAGTATGTGTCTGATTCCACAACTATGGGATGTGGGCATAGCTGGTGGTTTGGACTAGCACTTACCTTCATCTTGAGCCCCAGGGGAGTGTGGACCCTTTCAGTTGTCTACTGGGCTGCTAGGCTTATAGCAAGAACATTTATTTTTTGACTTCTGGATGTGTGATTTGTAAGCATTTTCAAGAATGTGTCATGTACAAAATCAAGAAACTGTCTTTGTTGGGGTGCCATGGGCTGTGGAGAGATGGAGAGAACAAGCAGTGAGGGAAGTGAAGGTAGCATAGGCTATTCCTATTGGACCAGGCTCCTGAGTTTGTACTGGTGCCATACTCTCTGGTTGTTCATTTAAGTCACGCACAATAGCTTATGGCAAGAATGGAAGAAAACATGTTCAGATTGATCTTGAGTGGAGACCTTATGATTGAGGTCTGCAGGTGCATCTGTAGTGTTCTCAGTTCCTAAAAATGTACAAGAAACAGGGAGAATGAGATTAATGAAACAAAAGAACTAAATATCAGGGGTTATGGTCAGAAAACATCTTTTCCATTTTAAAAATATTAAAAATTAGTTTATTGAAAAATTTTGCAATAGGACTTGTGCACTTGTATGTGAGAGAGAGACAGAGAGGGAAAGTGAGAAACACCTCCAGGGAAGATGGCCACACCATAATCCCTTCTTCTCCATTCTCCTTTTGGGATTTTTGGGCACACACACACACACACCCACCCACTGTATTTTTCAGGTATCTGGGTCTGGGATTTGAACCATGTAGGTGGCTATGTGTGATTCAGCCACCTTAACCTCCATGCCATCTGCTGGCCCCCATATTTTCTGTTTTAAACAAGTTAACAGAGGGCATGTCCACTTGCCAGAGTGAGAGACAGAGAGACAGAGGGAGGAGGAAAACAGCCCTCAGTCTGGTATGGTCATGCTGCAATCCCTTCTCTATCTCTCTGTCCTGTTGAGATCCCAGGCACGTGTTCATACACACACACACACACACACACACACACACACATATGGAGTATTTTTCAAGTGACTGGGGCAGGGATTTGAACTGCACAGTTGGCTATGTGGTATCTAACTCTTTTAGCTACTGCAGCTATTGGGCCATCTCTCCATTTTGTTTTTAAAATGCGTTAAAAAAAAAAAAAAACACCTTCAAAAGGAAGGTAAAAATCACCTATAGTTATACTATTTCAAAAATAATCCTGTAAAGAAGTGAAACCTATTCCCCAAGCCCACTTTCTGAAACCATGAGTAACACATTTCTTTTTCTTTTCCTCTTTTTTTTTTTTTTTGGTTGAGATTTTTGCTATAGCGCATATGAACTTGCCAGAGAGAGACATAGAGAGAGAAAGCAAAAAATCACCCTTCAAGGGGATGGCCATGCCGCAATCCCTTCTATTTCACTCTCTTCTCAGGATCTTAGGCACACATGCACACATGCCTAGAATAAATTTTTAAGCCGCCGGGTCCGGGACTCGAACCATGGTTGACTACATGGGAGTCCCAGTGATTTAACCATTATGCATCTTCTGGTCCTAACACAACAGATTTCAATCTAGGTAGAGAAGTTACCAAAGAAAAATAAGAGAAGAAAGAATCTCAATTTCTGTAAAGATTGGGTTTAGCTGCAGAGGAAAATAAAATCATTTTAGTTAGTTTAGGGAGAAAGAGGTTTATTATAGGGGCATTAAATAAACTTATGTGATTGTTGGGAGACCTGAAGAGATGAACTCCAAGCTCATCTTCCAGAAGCAAATGACTAATTAGCAAGCACAAAGGGATCATGCCACCTTTATAGCTGGCCACACCTGACGTTAAGTATTTATCTTGTCTACACATCTATGCATACAAATAAACCGTTGTGGTGTCATCTGTCTCCACTGTTCCTATTATGTAACTCATGGTTTTCTTTCTGTTCCTTAGATATGCCAAGCTCATTTCCTTTTAGGATCCCTGCAATTTCTGTTTCTTCTGTTTAGAACCATGTGGTCTTAGACCTTCGTTTGGCTTCCATTTCTCCCTCACTCTCCCCCTTCCCCTCCCTTCCTTCTTCTTTCTCTTTCTTATTTTCTTTATTCTTTTTAATTTTCATGTGTGAAATATTTTAAACATACAGAAAAGTTGGAGAAAATAGTGTAACAGTTAACCACTGCTATAGTGGTTAAAGTGGCCGGATCCCACATGAATGACTGCATAGTTCAAGTTTCAGACCCAGTGGCTTGAGAAACATGGGTGCGTGTGCATACATGTCCAAAATCCTGAAATGAGGGAGAGAGGGAGGAGGAAGGATTGTGGTGTGACCATCTCCCTCTGTCTCTCTCCAGCAACTACATGCGTCTTCTGGGGAAAAAAAAAAAAACAGAAAACAGAAAACAGTGAATCAAACACTGTGTATCCACCACACAACTTTAATAATCTTTGTTTTGTTTTGTTTTGGTTTGGGTCCTATTTCATCAATACCTGCTTTTATCTTTGTATTTCTTCCTTATTCCTTCTTTGGGTTTATTCTTTAGATGTTTTATTAGCTTCTTGAGTTGATCACAGTTTGTTTTCAGTATTTCATGGTTTCTTAGACTTAAAACAATTTTTTAGAGAGATTTTTGCTATAGGGCATATGCACTTGCTGGAGAGATAGAGACAGAGAGAGAGAGAAAGTGAGAAATCACTCACTGGGAGGATGGCTCTGCCACAGTCCTTCCTCCTCCATTCTCCTCTCGGGATTTTGGACATGGCTGCACATGTGCCCAGCGTGTTTCAAGTCAACGGGTCTGGGACTCGAACCATGGCTGGCCACGTGTGAGCTCAGCACCCTAACCACTATGCCACCTGCTGTCCCCAGATCTTTTAATTTTTAAAAACTTTTTATTGTGGAGTGATTTTAGATTTACAGAAGAGCTTTAAAGATAAAACAGATCATTTCTGCTCTTCAATCAGCTTTCCCTAAAGTAAACATCTGGCAAAGTCATGGTACCTTTATCAAAACTAAGAAGTTAACAGTGGGTCAGTACCATTTCACATATCTATCTATCTATCATCTATCTATATCTATCTATATCTATCTAATCTATCTATCTATGTAATAGTATTACTTCTCTGGTTAATAACCTGGGGTAGAGGATTGGAGGTCAAGGGTAAGAGGGAGATTTACTTTTCATTGTATACCTTTGTGTACTGTTTGAAGATAGTTTTTACAACGTGCATGTCACTTCTAAAAGGTAAAAACTGGTTGAACTCCATGGCACAGTGGTTAAATGCTGTGTGTAGGGAGCCAGATCCTACATGCTTGACTGTAGTTCAAGTCCTGGCACCTTAGAAAACACACCAGGCGTGTGTGTGTGTGTGTGTGTGTGTGTGTGCCTAAAACACAGGTCCTGGAACATAAAAAGGACATTAGTAGAAAAACTGTTGTATAATATGCTCTCCATTGGTTCTGCCAGATTACCCTGCCAGTGACTATCCCAATGTACATGCTGTTAGTGGTGAACAAAAGCACTGGTTTCC